TCAAACCAATGCTTAACTGGAACAATGTATCTGGCACCCTAGGCTAGAGAGTAATTCGGATCTATCATTCTCAAAGGAACCTATTTCCCTTCTATAGCAGGTGCCAGGATCTACCAATAGATTCGAGCACATTCCACACACTAGAGAGAAGGACCATCTCTAAGAATGTGAATCTCTATCAAACCTGAGGAATCCCCTCCCCTTCACTTTGAAGCAGTGAGGGGAAGGCAGAATGCACTTGGAGGTAGGACTTCAGAGTCCCATTCAATGGAAACAAGCCATCCTAACTAAATCTGAAAATCCCTGTAAGGTACTTAACTCCACAAGTCTGAGTCTGCATTAAGTTCATTACACAAACCCAGTCATGCAATGCAGGGCACACACAAGCTCCTCTCCTGCTCATACTCACTCCTCCCTGAGGCATCCTGTTATATCAAACTGACAGGGAAGCCCGTGAGGTTGTCTCAGGAGGGGTGAACAATACTGGAGGACTGTGGTGTCTGGCTTTTGGAGTGGGCATTCTGGACCATTTTCTCTAATTCTCTCTTAAGTGAAACACTTGGGCAGATTGGTCATGGCTTGGAAGATTGCATATAAATACCAAGAGCAAAATAAAATACACAGTTAAGAATCAGACATTTCTTCTGAGGTTTCTAACACAAATCTCTGCCCTAGGTTTCCAAAAAGGGTACAAGCAGTTTCCCTTAACAGTCATTCTGCTGCTTCCAGGTATACAAACTTGTGACAATATTTTATCCATCATGTCACCTAACATTCTAGGGAAGACCCATAGATAGCCATTTCCAAAGAGGACTTACATTCACCTGTTTCTTGGATCCCCTCAATTCTGCTGTCAGATCAACAGCTGACATGGCTGAAAGGGAATGACCTGCACCCATCATTTTCCCAGTGGGCATGTCTCCTGCAGAGGCTGGCCCTCAGAACAGGCACCCTTATCTCTACAGAAACTGAATGGAACAGAAAGTAAGGACACTGCAGGAACTATGGCCGGCCAGTAACTTAAGTTAAATAGTACAGTTATCTTCTAAAACCAGCCACTCTCAGGGGCCAGGTTAGAAAATTTAATGTATTGCTGTAAATGACAAAGAGGAAGAATTAATATTCTCAGAGCAAAAGTTAAAGAACGTTTTAATTCCAGTATCTTATCTTTCGTGTGTGTGTGTGTGTGTGTGTGTGTGTGTGTGTGTGTGTGTGTTTATACTTATTTTGGTACTAGGGTCTGAATTCAGGGGCATTGAGCTATATCCTCAATCTTTTTGTGACAGGTTCCTGCGAAATTGCTGAGTGGGGTCTTGAACTTGTGATTCTCCTGCTTCAGTCTTCTAAGTCCTTGGGATTACAGGTGTGAGCTATCATGTCCTGCTATACACACACACACACACACACACACACACACACACACACATATACATTTCATTCTAAGTTGTCACTTTTAGAAAGTTGGTGATAGTGGATTTTTATTTCCCTCAGTGTTGCTCTGGGCAAAATGAAACTGGCAATTGTATGTTGGCCTTTAGCATTTAGGAAATTTTACAGCCCAGAAAAATAAGAATTCTGGTTTAGACAGCCTTATAGCAAATTTTCCTATATTTTAATTGGGGAAATTTTTATAAATATGTGAAAGGTTTATATTTGAATGATGGAATATATAGGTTTAGTATCCCCATGTAAATGTTTTGGGTTTTGGAATATCTGCATGTACTAATAAAATAAGAAAATTATACACAACACAAAATCCATTTATATTTCACATACACCTTATAAATAGAGACTGAAGGCAACTTTACAGTATAGTTTTTGGCGTCCCTATGTTTCTGACTGTGATTCATATGAGAGGTCAGGTGATGTTTCCATTTGGGCATTATGCCTATACTCAAAACTTTTGGATGTTCTGCTTGTCTAGATAAAAAATGTAATTCTTAGAGCGTTATTCTGCCATGCAAAAGGCGAGAGACAAATGATGATGGGGCATTGTTAATGAAGGTCAGCAGATACCACAGAACAATTACATCACTATCTTCACAGGGAAAAGACCAAATTAGAAAACTAAAAAGGGCTTGAGTGTCTTACTTTATGTGTGTGAACCATCAGTATTTTCAACAAAGGAAAGTCAATTTAAATCCTATAGTAATCTAAGGAAGAGACAGAAAGAACTCAGTTGTACCCCTGACTACTTGCTGAGCAGCTATGAGATGGATAGATTTTATGTCCTTGAGACTTTGTGTCCTCATTTGTGAGAGAAGATAACTTTCAGGTCTGAGATGAGGTCCTTTGCTGGTCCATCATAAATGCTCATCAAATAGCAAAGACTACAATAGAATGTTATATTTTATATGCACAGACAACTAAATTACTTTTCCAAAGTCACAAACTAAGATAACTAAAATAAGTGTCCAGGTTCCTCAGTATGACTTATTTCCTCCAGAATGCAATACTGTTGGAACAAGCTGGGGTCCTACCTGATAAAACCATTTCAATCTAAACAAAATTGACAGCTAGTTTCCAATAGTTAACGTAGAAATTAAAAAAAAATTATTGCTTATTTTGAAATATACTTTTCAAAAAGCTTATTTATGCTAAATCTAATTGAGTCAAATAGGAGAAAGACCGAGAATTCAGTGTTGGTAGATAGAAATGGCTTCTGCATATTCCACTCAGAAAAATATGTCATGAATGTATATCTGCACACATGTACCAAGATTCCTACTATCAATAGTTAAGTATGCTTACAATACAGATATTGCTTTGAGATAAATAAGTCGGGTAAGTTAGATACTTGCAAATTTCTATAGCAAGGTAGCTTATACTCCCACCATTTCTCAAACTTTAAAAACTACTCCTGTATTTTTATAGAATAACCTGTCAAGTTATGCTAGTTCTATCAGAGTAAGTAATTCAATTTCATGGATTCAAAATCCATTTGAAAAATCACACTCCATTTAGATAATATCCATGAAATAAATCAGTGATTAAAAACAATCTTTGTAGCTTTTCATACCCTGTGAATTTGGGTATCTTTTAAACCAAATCAGTTTCTGATTTGATTATGAATTTTAAAAAATCAACATTTTTCTCATTCATCATTTTACACAATAGACCATCATCTCAAATCCCTAAGGATTTCCACTATAACCTGTTACAGAATGCCTAAGGAAGTCTCATTCACTTTAAAATGCACTTAAGGAGATACTTATCTAGTTTCTGAATTACAGACACCTTTGCCTCAGCAACCTGGGTCCAGATAGGCATAGGGACCTCTGCTATCATGAGCAGCAGACATCTACAAGCCCTGACATGGGAAAGGCAAAACTGCCCCCACCAAAGAGAAATCTTTCTTTAAGTGGAGCTCACTCTAGTGCATGGAGATGAAACTGGAAAAACCAGCCTCAGAAGGACCCTATGGGCTAACTGCTTAAAAGGTAGCCTCAATGCTACACCACACCCAACACTGTATTTAAGTAGCATTTTTCTAAAGGAACTTGAGGGATGAATTTTTCTTCACAACATTCCAAAGAGGAAGGCTTCTCTGAACAGTCCTTACCCTCAGTCCCAAGTAGGAGGTGCTTTAAATAGAAGGCTTCCCAATTATTGTCTCTAACATTGCCCTTAGCTCCCTAGGAGCTCTGATCCACTTCTAAGCAAAGCCTATGTCCTGTTTACCACTGAATCCCTAGTGGGCAGAATAACCACAGCACAGTAGGTGCTCAACAAACAACCTAATCACTGGAAGGGAAACATGACGCAGAGGCAGAAAACTTAAGGGGACTTGTTAGCTTTCTTAAAATGTGTTCCTGATCTGGACCAGGCCATGGATTGTCTTCCTTCTCTGAACCTCCCATAATTAGAAACATTTATTGAATCAAGTACTATAGGCTACATATGGAGGAAACAAAAATTGACAAGAGGAAAACTCAACCACACCAGTGTGGGAACATAGGTTCTGGGATCTGTGTGTGTGTTTATGTTTGTTAAGGGAACAGTGAAACAAACTGCTGGTCTCCTTGCCTCCTGGTTTTTCCGCTCATTCCCAAATGTTCTGTGTAATCCCAAATTAGTTTCACTGTTTCAATGCTTTATTAAGAGACCTTTACTGTTTCAGATGCATATTCTCCCCAGGATGACAGTCTAAGCCACCAAGGATCCACACTCATGTCCATGCCCTAAGGTCTCTAAAGAACCTCTCCCAGAAGTGAAGGTGCAGCTATGCTGCATCTAGATTAGAAAACATTCATCATCTCACTTCTCACTCATTCTACAGCAAACTTTATTGTAATCTCCCAGGTCACCCACATGCGCCAAGTTTTCACAGTGATCCACCTGTTAGCAACTGCATTCATTTCTCTTAAGCACACAATACAACTTTATTATCTCATTTTTATACGTATGCACGAAGCTATTAAAAGTAATTCTGAATTGCTCTTACCTTTATGTGAGATATGAAAATAACATAAAACTTATTTCCTATACTCTTATAACCTAAGGTTGGATATTTGAAACAGCTATAATTTACCCTATTTAATTTTAAAGTCATGTCCCCAATATTAACATTTAAAAACAAACAGGGTATAGAGAGCATAATATTTCCAAAATGACTGATTCTAAAAAAGCTTTACAGGAAGTTCTCAAAAGCAAAACAAAAAAATACAAAAATTGGAGCTTTAATTTTCCAGTAAGACAGTTTAAATGCAATGTTTTCTTACATGACACTTTAAATCCAATTCATCTCAAAACGGGAACTACCTCTACTTACAACTCTAAATATATGTATCAGTATGTGGAATGATACTTTTAATTCTGCATATCAAATCTCCATAGTAGTCAATGTTTCTTGAACATCCCCCACATCCCTCCTGCAGACCACTGGAGATGACTGCTCTTTATTCTGAAGAGACACCCCATTCACAGGGTTCCCCTGCCTTTGGCAGCTTTTAAGGGGTTTTCCATAGAAACAACGTTTGTCCACACCCACATGACAAAGGTCAATGTCAAGTCCTTTAATTAAGACACCTACAGCTTCCTTACAAAAGGGGGTGGACTAGCAGGCCTCGCAGAAGGTGTAGTCGGTGAAATGCTCCATCAGGCTTCTCTTCCCCACCCCTTGGGAGCCCATGATGATGACCTGCAGCTTGAAGTCCGCCGGCCTGAGGGGCTGTTTCTTCCCATGCGCCTGGCAGCCAGAAAGCGCCCAGGAAGCCAGCTCCCGGGCTGCCGCCGCCCCCAGCCCCCTCTGCAGCGCGGCGCCCGGATCCGAGCAAGTGTAAGGCTTGCGCTCGGCCACCCGCCCGCCCCGCCGACCCCGTGGCGCACGCAGGGACTCAGCCCTGAGATGGGCGTTTAACCACTTGCAGCTGCGCCATTGGTTGATCCCAGAGCCCCGCTCCCCGCCGCCGCCACCAGGAGAGGAATAAGGGAAGCAGCAACTCCGTGCGGGACCAGGAGGCGCAGGAAGCGCAGGCGCGGGAGGGCGGAGCCGCGAAGGGGTTCCCTGCAGAATGACAGCGCTACCGCTGCGGACTGCTCTGATGCCTTTGGGCTTTCTCCTACACCCCCCTCTGCCCTTTTCCTGCTTCCTCTTGTTCCCCAGCTCTTGCTTCCCTGTTTCCTTCTGTTAGCTGTTTTGTCTTTTGTTTCTTCCATCGGCTCTTTTCACTCCTTTCCCTACTTTCACTGTGCACAGTTCCTAAACACTGTGCAATTTTATTAGCTTTTATTGCCAGGTATCCTAGAAGATCTTGAAGAAAGAGTTGGCAGACTTTCTTTTGCCTTGGACTATAAAGGTGGGATGCAGGGGAGAGACCAGGGACCAAGCCAAAAGGATGGAGGGCGGGTTGCAGTACCTCTTTGCACCAGGTTCATCCTCAGCGATTGCAGCTCCCTCATGCAGTTACAGAGGTCTGCCATCCCTTCCCTTTCGGCCATGGCCAACATGATGTCAATGATGATGAAGTAGCCGTCCTTCCTGTGCCAGCACTTCATGAAAAGAGGGGTCCATCAATGGAGGTCAAAGGACCACTGCGCTGCTGATACTTTTAAATGTTTTTGTTAAGGTCAAATTCACATTTAAAAATTAACCATTAAACACATGCAGTTCAGGCATTTAGCACATTCACAATGTTGTCCAACTGTCACCTCTATCCAGCTCCAAAATATACCCACCATCTCCCAACCACAACCCAAGGTATACTTGTTTAAGAGGCTCTGGGAGCTCTGCTTACCTGCAGTGCACCACCAATGGGCCTGCATTGGGCAGGCTCTTGGATTTGACCTGACAAATCTCAGCAGCCCTTTGGCATGGTGGGGGACCCCATATTCCGGGCCAGCCAGTGAAGTGAAACTGTCTGATCTCTAGGATTTCATGGGTCAGCCACAATATAGAAGAGAACAAAAGGAAAATAATTGATAAACTTCAAGAGCAACCAAAGAACAAACTTCAGGAGCACAACCCACTCCTAAGTAGCCAGTCTAAAGGCAGATAACAATGAGTTGCTGGGGAAGAAGGTCATTCTTACATTTAACACAGGTTAATCACAGTTTTAAAGATGTCTGTGGGTGAGAAAGAGAGATGGTGTTTGGGGACATGCTAATTTACATGTGCAATTCCAGTAAATGAATGGGTCTCTGGTTCTTTGAAATTCCTTACTAAAATGTAGACTCTGTTAAAAGCTGTTCAATACTAGCTACAGAAATGCAAGACCTTTGTTCTGGATTTTCTGTATCCTGGTACTTCTTTGTACCAGGCGCTCAAGCTGTGCACACACACTGTGAATACTCAGAAAATGTTTTTTTCTGGCACAATGAATCTACTTTCCAACCAGAGGAGCTGGGGAACTCATTTTCATTTGCAACTCTGTTTTTCTCTTTTTAATTCAAGTCAACATTTAACTCAGTCCTCAAATCACTGACAATTTTGTGACTTCAGTGCTCTAAGTATTACTCAAGGTGTTAGGCTGCAGAGATATGAAGACATTGTCTCCTGTCTTCAGGTGATGGTCCCAGTCTGCAAGAAGCAGGCATGTCAGCAAATGTACCCATGGGAATCAAGAGGTGCTTTTGTATCAGTAAATTGGAGGGGGCACTGCCTGCTACTGAACTGAAGGGAACTGAAGGAAAGATACTTATTTTGCTTTTAAATTTGCTCTTGAGAGTAATTAAGTTGAATATCAGTTTTGTTTTCTAACTATGAGTCTACATTTTAAGCCTATATTTTTAAGAAAAAGGCTTATTTTGAAAATGAAAATTACTCCTGATACCAAGACTGCATATAAATCTGGTATCAAATTTAACTTTCTCTGTCTTCTCACTGGATAACCACTAAGAACCATCTCTGCATTAAGCCATGATTTTGGTTTGACTACATCTTAAAGGTAAACATATGCTGACCTTATCACAGTCTCCATCAAGCACTGTTTAGGAAACAAAGAATAAGTTCAAAATTTTATGTTCTTGGAAGACATGGAGAGGCAAACAAATACAGATTTTAAGATAAGACTTGTTTACTACCAAGATGTTAATATGTCTAACAATCCACAAATGCTGAAGCTTTATTTTTCTGTAAAGATATTCTTTAGTAAGAGTTTAAGCAGTAAGAAGTTAAACAGTCAGGGATTCACAATGCAAATCAACATTGTCATCTGCTAAATAGGTGCAGTAATCCCAGAGGAATATTACTAGGTGGTTAGGAGCCCATATTTCTTATCCTAGAAAAAGTGACATCATGTGACCAGCCCCAAAGTCTCCATCAGAGACATGCAGTTGAGCCTCTGTCACCTTCCAAGGTTCGTTAGCTTTATGACTTGGGTAGAGGTACTCCGAAATACAGAGTGAGCATCCCATAAACTGTGAAAGCTTACTAGCAATAAATATTTATTTATTCCAAAGGGGGAAAGGAGGCATTTCTAGATTTCGGCCTATGCATCACCAAGCTCTGAGCCCCATCAATCATGAGAAAAGCTCCCAACTGATCTAAGACTCATTCTATGAGCAAGGTAAATGTCAGTTTCTGAAATGCAGAAAAACTGCTCCCAGAATAAATCTCCACCTTCTAATATGTTCATTACTGCCAACATTAGCAAAGGAAATTGCTTCTGATCCAACTTTCATTCTTGTTCACGGACATAAGTTTCTCCTTTTGCTGTTTTGTAATACAATTGAGGAAGAGAATCATAGATGCAACCAGTGATCACAATCTAAATACTTCCAAGCTGGATGCTAATTACATTCTTCCTTTAGTCTTCATTATAAAAGCATGACTGCTATATAAAAAGTCATTTAAATTTTCCATGTAATATAATGGGAAGGGAGAACCCCTGACATACAACAGCACCTAGACCAAGGTGGGTGCTTAATAAACATTTGAAGAATGAGTCAATCACTGATTGCATGTTCTCTCTTTGAGATGGGGGATCATTATTCCCACTGCCTTCTGATTCCCTTTATATGAGAAAGAAAAAGCAGCCATCAGATGCAAAACAGGAAATCTTCAATTTCAAATTATAACTATCTGCTTGTTTTGCAGAGTGGAGTCCAAATCCATTTTACACCTTTAGGTCCCTTGTTGTAAACACTCTCAAAATAGAATGAGAAATGCAGGAAGCTCAAAGTACATCCCTAACCACTCTTTTTCTTTCCCTTTCAATGACAAAGTTTCAAACCTACAAGAAATGTTCTACAGAAGTCCAGTGATTTTTTTCCTCAAAGATTCCAATTGCCCAGTTAGAAAATCACTAACATGTCCTTTTGATTTTCCCAAATGCATTCACAAGCCCTGCTTCTGTACATCATGTTTTCTCTAGCTTTCTAATGACTAAATAACTGAGTTTTCAGAAAGATTTCTATGTGGCTGTGAATGCAGCAGAGTACAAGAAGAGGTTTAAAAAAAAGAGCAAAGAAACAAACAAACCCTTCCTTTGGCAACAGAAATCTATTTTCAGCTTATCAGAAAGCTGTCTATTGTTCAAAGAATTCCATGTTTAAGCAATGGCTTAAGAAAAAAAATATTGAGGGTCTTTTATCGCTATTTTAATGCAGTTATTCATGAGTGCTCTTGCCAAGAGCCATAAAAAAATCCTCCACTTCTTTTTTTTCCCCCCAATCCTGCCTAAGAAGGAAAAATTCGACATCAAAGTGTGAGGTTAAGAACCTGAAGAACTGAGTCAACCAGAGCTTCACATTCTTTGAAGTCTCCAAGCTCTTGCCTGCTTATTTAAAAAGACAGGCTAAGAAAGGAGCTGGGGCTGGGACTCAGCAGTAGAGCGCTTGCCTTGCACATGTGAGGCACTGAGTTGGATCCTCAGCACCACATAAAAATAAATAAACAAAATAAAGGTATTGTGTCCATTTACAACTAAACAAAATACTTTTCTTTTTAGAAAAAGACTAAGAAAAACATGCTAAATAGTATAAGAAACAGATTAAAATGAACTAGTCTTCTCAACATTGTGATTGTCTGGCAAATTTGGATTAGCAAATCAGGAATGATATTTCAAATTATCAGTGTAGATTATCCAATAAGCAGGTGCTGCTATTTCCTTGAACTTTCTAGAACTTGTCTTGTTAATCCAAAAATACAATGAAAATACAAAAATGCAATGAAAATACAGAGCAGAAAGGAAGGTCAAGAGCCAACTGCCCAGCAGTCTGCTTATAACCCTGTCCTTCAAGGGGACCTGCTACTATTAAATGAGTGTAAGCAGAACAAATTCACCACAAAGTTGCTGCATCTGGTGCAGCTGTGCATTGCTCGGTGATGGAGAAGGAGCTCTTGATCGAAGTCTGTGGGCCTCTGGAAGGCAGAGTGTTTCTCAGTCACATCACCTCCACCTTCCCCACAGCCTACCTGAGACACTTCTCTGGATGGACTGCAGTTTGCTTCACCTCCGGCCCCTCCCTATGTCAGCAAAAAGAGGGGGAATAAGGAAATTCCCTGTTACACCCTACAGTGCTTCCCAGAGAAGAAGCCCCATCCATGCACATGGGATGAGGCAGGGTAGAACCAAAGCACAACATTCACCAACACCAGCAACTACGAAAGGCTAGACTCAGTATGACAGTGAGCATGAATGAATGCACTGGTTCATGCAAGAGTGTCCTGGGTCCAAAGGGCATTGGTCACTTAGTTTTCCAGGTAGGTTGATTCTGCCTGAAAAATCATCAGCTCATGTGTGCTAGGAGCCACAGCCAAGTAATATGATGCATGGCACTTTTGGTTGTAAGGCGACGCCAGCTAGCCATTGAGATGATATGATTATGTTAAGATTTACATTCATATGGATATTGGACTCCTGCTGTTCACCTTGGCCTGCTACGGGACTCCTGGAGAGTTCCCATTGGTTGGGGAAGAACAGTAGGAGGGAATTCCGGGGGAGGTCCTAGTCCCCGGTTCCGGTAGAACCGACCGCGTGTGTGGACCGGCTTGCTTCCCGGACGCGTATGGGGTATTGGTGGCATTTTCAAAAATAAAGTTTTGTTCCTGCTTGAGTGGCTCGTGATTCTGTGCCCAGCCAGACTGCGGCACATGTGTAACCACGGGCCTGAAAGAGCCATATGGAATCCTGAGGGATTCCAGGAGGAGTTAGGACCTGTGTCTTAACACTGATACTAACTCACTACTGGGAAACTCAAGGGGACACTCAACATGCAGGAAATTCAATAAACCTGAAGGACATTCATCAAAATTTCACAAACTGCTCTGTTAACAAAGAGAGATGGGCAGAATAATATCAACCAGGCTAAAAAGAAAATAGACAAATATATGTTATCTTCTGGTTTAGATGCAATATATATTGTTATGAAATGAGAATAATTTAAGTTAAAGATGGAATTGAGCTATTACAGAATCAGAGGGGAAGATGCAACCTTGAGAAAAATGCCAGACAGAGCTTATCTTCGGTTAGGTGTGATCTTGTGTAAAAAAAAAAAAAAAAAAAAAAAAAATATATATATATATATATATATATATATATATATATATATATATTAATGAGGCTAGTATAGCACCACCAGAGCTTTTGAACTTACCTTCTCAACAGCAAATGTTCTTATTTATTTATTTAATTCGTTTAAATACATGACAGCGGAATTTTTTACAATCCTTATTACACATATAGAGCACAATTTTTCATATAAAATAGGTTGATACCCAATTCGTGTCTTCATACATGTACTTTGATAATGATGTCCATCACATTCCGCCATCCTTGTTAAACCCCTGCCTCCTCCCTTTCCCTCCACCCCTCTTCCCTATCTAGAGTTCATCTATTCCTCCCATGCTCCCCCTCCCTACCCCACTATGAGTCAGCCTCCTTATATCAGAGAAAACATTCAACATTTGTTTTTTTGGGATTGGC